GACGTTTTGTCCACTTCTGTAGGGCTTCAGTAATGCCCGGAGAAACATGCTCGCGAAAGTGCTGTGTATGTTTCCTGATCTATACAATCGATCTACATGTTCAACAGTCAAGTCTTTCATAAGGATGGCTAACTGATTCTTAAGAGCAGTGTTTTCAGTAATTAACTTACTTATGTGCGTTGGTTCAGTGGTCTCGGACGTAGATTCGGGTTTGCCACGTGAGCTTGCCTCTTCTTCTGGTTCCGTTATAGGTACCTTCTGAGATTCGTCTTAGTCCCCTATAATTGGGGACTCCTCTACAATTGGGGACTTTCTTTCTGAGTTTCGTCAGAAGAATTGGTTGGGGCGTCTTGAGACGTGTCCCTTGTCTCACTTCTTGGCTTCGTAAATGCAAGCTTTGAAGTTGAGGCAATAGTTGGCCCACGGGCTCTGTCAGTGGGAGTAGTCTCTTTAATCATCCTTATTTGAAGTATTGTCCTGTTGACTATTATTGTCGGAGGCAAGTGCTTCGGCTACTGTGCGGTTAAACGCATCGGCAGCGCCGGCAGTTGCTTCTGCGGCAGCGCTCGCGGGTTCTCTCTCCATTTTCTTCTTTTCAGCTCTACGCTTCTTAAAAGGAGTATTGTCTTTCTTGGTCATAATCTTAACTTATGACTACTAGCTTGTTTTTTAAAGACTAGCTTGGACAAGAAAATTTTTGTGGTAGCTAATTTACCTTTACGCTTAAGTAGTCTAAGTAATTAATACCTTTGCTAACTTTAAAATGTGTATGATTCGGTCTCTCAAGACTATATTAACGCCTTAGAATAAATAAACGCGTAGGTAAATTCTAAGTATCGTGAAAATTTCAAAATAAGTAGACGAAATGAGACTTTTAGTAAAGTTAGGTATGCCTCGTGAAAACAGCAATACTCTGAGGAATTGTGAGGCTGAGACATAGCCTATATATAATCCTCTCAGTACTGTTTCCGCCGAAGGGGTTTTGTTCAGTGTTTCGTTGTCGCTCTATTAGAAACTATGGTATGTTTCGTTGGGGCGAATCTGAGAGACACATAAATTCCTATCTTTAGAAAAGAAAAGAAAAAATACTCTTGATGTCCTTAGTTTTTGTCTTAACCAATAACTTGCCACTTATCAGAGTTACCGACTTAGCCTTCATCAGACTGACACATCTGGTTGGCTGATCGGAGGATAAACTAGGTAACGTTAATAGTCCCTAGAAACCTATATTCGGTTGAGCCATCTCGCTACCGAAGTATTCAGATAGAAATAAAGTTGGATATTAAATACAGTTCTATCCATAGAACTAGACCAACTCTTATGTTTGGTATTTTACTGGGGTCTTTTGATGGCTTTGTCCAAATATATGATATGTAAAATGGAAAAGGTATTAATTAATAAAACCATTAAAACCCATTTAGGAAACTTAAGTTCCTTGTACTATTAAGAGTACGTTTTTAGTATACGTACTGCTTAAGAGTATGTTTATAACATAGAGTCTAATGTGGAGGCCCGGCTATTACAACAGCGGTCACAAGGAAAACCAAATCAATCAATAAATCCAACAAATATGAAGTATTTAGCTATTTACCAGTTCTGAATAAACGCCTCGTGAAATCTGATCCCAATCGCTGGATAAGAGCACCCTATGCATGTCCATCTATATAAGAACAGAGAAGCGTCAATAAGTTGAAAGGTAAAATATTCAGTAAGTATACACACCGTTTTCCTCAGTGATTTTAGAAGGCTATGTTTTTTGTGTTCTGATTGTTCGTGTATTGTATTTAGAGGACTATGTTGTTGGGTTAAAAAAAAATTGAAATGCAAAAAAAAGTGTACTCTAGAGGGGTCTACAAATGGGCAAAAAAATGTCATTTGGGCGTATTAATTATTTTGTATAGGGTCTCAAATGAGCAAACAGCGTCCAAGCCGGATTTATCTCTATGTATTTTCGACAGGGTCTTTTTTATATGTTTTATATGTAGGAGCATAGTTAATATTAGTTAAACAACTACTTGAACTAGAAGAACTAAACTTTATTTAATATTTGTCTTGTAAATATATATTAAAGTTCTGGTGTGAAAAGTGAAAATATGGTTTGAGCGTATCCAAGACAATTTGTTGTCAAGGATATGTAAAACCTAGTTGAGTTTGTGAAAACCCCAGTTTGGCATGTTTGGATGAGTCATGTTCGGGTATGCTCAATACCCCCCCTCAAGGCAAAGTGGGGTTTGGGGAGACACCAGGTTTTGTGATAAGAGCTGATTTCGAAAATATTCATGCTTCGTGCGACCAGATGATTTTGTGAAGAGATCAGCGAGATTTTCCTTTGTAGATACATAGGAGATAGTGATCATATCACGACGTACTCAGTCTCGAATATAATGTGTACGGATAGCGATGTGTCGGAGTCTTTTGGGCGTGCCTGTGCCCAGGGCAATTTTTATGGCAGATTGATTGTCACCATATAATTATGTGGGCTGAGAAATAGTGTGACCAATTGCAAATGCAACATTCCTCACCCACGCAATGTTGCGTGTAGTCTCCGACATAGCTACATATTCAGCTTCGGAACTGCTGAAAGTGATGGTTTTCTGTTTATGGCTTTTCCAGTAGATAGAGAACTCTGTAAACAGATTAAAGTGCCAGTCTGGGAGCGACTTGACATGTGACATCCTCCCCAGTCGGAATCCGTATACGCTACCAGTGCTGAGTCAAAAGTCTGGTTAGGCTGTCTTGGCTTGTACGTTATAGAGAAATCCGAAGTAATCCGAAGGCAATGTAGGATACGTTCCAGAGCCAGTATATGTGTTTCCGTAGGCGTAGTGGCAAATGTGGCAAGTTGGTTAAGTGTCGCAGAATATCTAGTCGAGTCAAATTGGCACCAAATCCAAGGGCACCCAGTAATTGACGAAAGCCAGGGCAAGTGAGCGGTGAAGAGTCAACAAGAGCAGTTGGGTGAACGCCATTACCTGGCGTATGATTAGGCAAAGTACGAGGGAGAGGGAAAGTATTAAGTAGGGAAGAGATGTATGCGTGTTGGTCGATGGTGATGCCATCGGCATGTTGTTGAATCCAAAGACCGACGAAATAGGACGCAAGGCCTAAAACTTCAGGCTGTAGTATTTGCTTAATGATTGGATTAACCACTGTTCTTCTCCGAAATTATGGGGCACGGCTGGGACGATCTCATCCACGTAAAGGATAATGATAATGCGGCGCGTGGTGTGAACCCAAATACTTTCGTCAGCATCCGAGCGTTTGAAGCCTAATTGGTGAGCTTGGAGGCGATGTCAATGTTCCAGAAGCGCCCAGCCTGTTTTGAATCGTATAAGTCGCGCTTTAAACGAAGGGCATGAAATGGTTTGTATTATCCGAGTTCCAGGCTACCCACAGGTGGATACATGTACACTGAAGTGTCGAGAGAAGAGTACAGATATGCAGTTGTAAGATTCGGTCTATCAAGGCGATATTAACGTCTTAGAGTAATTAAACGCTTAGGTTAAGTTTAAGTATCGTGGAATTCGTAGTAAATAAACGAAATATATATATATATATATATCATGTAAATATATACAAATATAGTAGTATACATGCGTATACTTGTACTTGTGACAATAGCTGTCGTGCGATTCTACCGAGCTGAATCGTTAATATGATTGGATTTCCCTGTTGTATCATATTCCGATAATTCAACAAACCAGTATCATTCCGCCTTCGAGATCACAGATTTC